GGGGACTCATGATACAAGTGTCCCCGGGGGAGGGTTGCAGGCTTCCCAGATGAAGGCAGCAGGTTCTAGATGGTCTGAAACTTCAGTTTGTTACCAACCAGGGTTCTTGGCCTTCCTTCAGTCAACAGAAATTGACTAGAGGCCAGACAAGAAATTTAGGCAAGGCTTTATTGGGGACCCTGCTGCATCAGAGGGGAGCAAAAATAAACAACAGTTTCCCTTGCTTGCTTGCTTCCGAGGGGAGCAAGCTAATTCCTTATGTGGGGTGAGGGTAGGGGTGTGTCCAGGTGTCTGGCTAGAGGGGTGGTTTAGGTGTTTTGCCCACCTGTTAGGTAGTGCTGTATGCAGGGGGCACGTGCAGTGCAGACATCTCTGAGGACCCGCCATCACCAAGGCGCTATAGTGTTTGGGTCCATTTGTACAGGTGGGATGCTAGGGTTCATGAGATTCAGGGGGACAGAATCAAATCAGCTGGGAGGGAAAGACCCTCTACCTCCTCCATCCTCTCCAAAGAGAGCCAAGGAAGCTCTTGAGGAGGGCAGAGTTAGAAAAGTTTGGAATAAATGTCTCTAAATGGAGTTTTAACTTGTAGCATTGACAGTGAAACCTGAAAGTTGCTCAGTGGTGTTCGACTCTTTGCGACTCCATGTACAGTCCATGGAATTCTCCAGGCTAGAATACTGAAGTGGGTAGCCGTTTCCTTCTCCAGGGGATCGTCCCAACCCAGGGATCAAACCCAGGTCTCCTGCATTGCAGGCAGATTCTTTACCAGCCGAGCCACAAGGGAAGCCCAGCATTGACAATACCATTAACCTTACCTCTGAAATCATTCTGGAGTCCTTGTGTTTAACATTTAGTCACTAAATAGTCAGCACTGATGGCCCATCTTCATATTTCTTCGACCTGACTCACATGTATCACTGTGACAACATCTCCCATCTTGCCTCTGCTTAAATATTGTTTAATATTTAAGTCTTGTTTAATTGCTTGCTTTATTAAGGGCAGATACCTAGAAAATAGCTTCTTAAAAGGCAAAAACCACTTCTTTAAGTAAAATCATCTCTTTTCCAAAGACAGATGTGCATCAATATAAAGAATGGTCTAATATAGCATCTGTTTATTTCTGGAAGGAACCTTGATTTTGCTAATACATTTCTATGCATCAGAGCAAAAGAAAAAAAAGCCATCCATAAAAAGACAATTACAGAGATGCAATCAAGCACTGATAGCAGTGTTCAGACACATCTCAGAGAACCTCCAGGAGAGAAAGGATTGCAGCTTTAGTTTTATGTAACTTCTTATAACTCAATTTTTTAAGTAATTTCTTTACATCCAATGAGGGAAATTTGATTTCTGTAGCCAGTATTCGTGTCCCAGAAAACAATATGCACCTTTTTTCTATAATTATATGATGCCTATTGTTTCAGCCCAGAGACTTTTTTTTTGGTACAGAATCACATTTTCCCCAGAGCCTGAGTCACAGGCTGGTAATGAGTTAGGTGTTCCAAGTAGTGCATCACCCATCCAGCAGCCCCACACCCTCCACACCTGAGGGATCACACCTCTGCTCCCAGGAACATAGAGGAAAAACCAGAGGCTAAGCAATTCTGTTGCTGCTGCTAAGTCACTTCAGTCGTGTCCAACTCTGTGCGACCCCATAGACGGCAGCCCACCAGACTCCTCCGTCCCTGGGATTCTCCAGGCAAGAATACTGGAGTGGGTTGCCATGTCCTTCTCCAATGCATGCATGCATGCTAAGTCGCTTCAGTCATGTCCAACTCTGTGCAACCGTATGAACAGCAGCCCACCAGGCTCCTTTGTCCACGGGATTCTCCAAGCAAGAACACTGGAGTAGGTTGCCATTTCCTTCTCCAAGCAACTCTGTTACAGGCTCACAGAAGCCATGAGCCTAGTCTGGGGTTACATGGACTCTGCCTGCTGCCATGTGTGGAGCCCTCCCAGCGTGCCCAGGTCTGAGAATGCAGTGTGGGAAAGGAGGCAGGCTGGGGAAATGGGAACAAGACCTGAGATTGGCTCTCTGCCTCCCTACCAGTCACTTGATTTGGACCCCTGTGTGATTGGCGACATCTGGGCGCATGGGAAGGCAGGACACATCCTGGACATGTCCATTGTCCAACCCAAAGAACCAAAATCAGGAAAGCCCCTGCAGAGAGCCCAGCTCAGCAGCTTGTACAGTCTGCTCAACGAGTATCTACTGAGGGCCACCCTGTGTCAGCCAGACGCCAGGCACTGGGGACACAGCAGTGAGCACCGGGCACCAGTGTCCCTGCCCTCCCCTAGGGCACTCACATGCTAGTCAGGGAGACAGGTGGCAAACAGTATGCTGGATGGGAGTAAGACAAGGGGCATCGTTGGGCTGTGATGCAGGGGGCAGGTGCAGAGCGTGGAGGTGGAGGTCACTGCATCAAGCCTCTGCTAGTAGCAGTGGAGATGGTGGAGAAGGTCAGACTCTGAACATATTGTTCAGGAGGGCTCTACTTTCTCATCCCATGGGGACTGGCTTCTGTTTTGTTTATGGTTTTCAGGGCTTTTTTCTGAGGCTTAAACCGGGCGATGTGTGTCAAGATTCCCAGTGCACGGTTAGCTTGTGGATGCTGAGCTGGTGTTGTTGCCTAGCACCTCCCTGCAGTGGACCTTGGGCACCTCAAGCTGGGGGCTCTTCTCAGCCTGAAGCCCCCATGACCACACCATCCCATGGAGGTGGCAGAACGAGCAGAGGGTGCCAGAACCCGAGACTGGCTACAAGGGCCCTCCTATAAGGAAGGGCTGTGGATATGAAGGCTCAGGAAGGCAGCCCAGAAGGAAATGCCAGGGGACCCCCAGCCCCAAACTCCGAGAGCAAATGGATCTGGTGTCGCCCTTTGGGTTGGAGTCTGTAGTCTGTCTGGGAACCAGCCAAGTGAGGCACAGAGGGGTTCCCAAGGTAGTGGCCACACCCAGCTCCTCAGGCCTCTCAAGATGCCTTTCCAAACTCTGAGACTCCAAGCAAAATGTATTTTCCTTCAGACTTAGGTTTTAACATGGAAAACAGCTCAGATTAGAAATATGTCATCCCCAGAAGTGACTAACTATTAACTTTTCATAAGCGACTCAGGTATGAACCCTTTATGACTCTGTTATGACACAGGACAAATCAGCTATCTGGTGTTTTATTTCTATTATTGAAGCTTCCACTGGGTAATCGGAATGGGGCTTTTTAAAGCAGAGCAATATTTCAGAGAAAACTCTTAAGGGTTCCTGCAGCCTTCTCCAATGTTTCACCCCAGTGGGAGCACTTCTGAGTGTCGTTTTCCTTGATACCAAGAGCAGACTGCATGCATCCACTTTCCACCTTCCAGCCTCTGCCTTAACCCAGACCTCACTTGGGCCTGCACCCCTCACTAGATTAACTAGCTAGAACGCATCCTTAAAGGACTCATGGTTGCGGCTGGGCCCTTGCCACACTGACCAGTGGCCTTTGTCCCTCCTGCCACCAAATTGCTCCCGTGGGAGAAGGGAGCTCAGGAAGGACAAGAGAAATAACAGGAAGGATGGTTTGGTATTGTCTCCAAGGGGTCAAGAGGAGTTTTGCATCTTCTGTTAATAAGAAAAGTAGACAAATGTATACCTGTGGCTGATTCATGTTGACATATGGCAGAAACCAACACAGTATTGTAAAGCAATTGTCCTTCAATTAAAAATAAATAAGTTTTTCAAAAATAATAAGAAGATAAGGAGCATTCGGCTGTCTGTCATGCCTCCCATCAGCAGACAGGGCATAAGAATTTTCCACAACTTCCAGGCAGGGGAAACCAGTGCCCAGAGGGATGAGGGGACTTTGGCCTGTGTCAGAGTTCAAACCTGAGTCTCCTGAGTGCAGCACCGGGCTTCCCCCTTGCAGCTAGTGCTGCCAGCCCCGTTTCTTACCAGGGAGTCAGGACCTGTTCTGCCCCATAAGCTCTGAGTACCGCACCTCAGACATGTTTGGTAGCTAAAACCAAACTCGCTGAAACTCCAGGTAATTCCATCCTCAGCCTGTCTGCAGCTAGTGCCTGGATGGGGCCAGCATTGTGCAGGGCTCTGCAGAAGAGGCAGCTGGCTGGAAAGCCCCTGGGGGAGTGCTTCATACCCTGCGCTTAGCAGGTGATTTTGATCAGCCCAATGCTCCCTCCTGCCCATCCTGCCCCACGTACTGGCCAAATCGGACCCCACAATGAGGCTGCAGATGTCACAGGAACAAGGCTTATCACTGAGCCATCTCTCATGGAATGCCTGGCATCGGTCTCACCTGCTCTCTTGTACATCCTGCCCTTGTTTTTGTTTGCCTTCATTTTCGTCAGATTTCTGTTTTCCTTCCCTGGGGTTACCCAGATCTCTGCAAGCTGCCTGAAATTATTTGGGGAGGAAGGTAAGATCCAAACCAGTGATAGGCAAACCATACCCTGTGAGCCAAATGCAGCCCAGCCCATTTTTTAATAAAATTTCATTGAAACATAGTGATACTCACGAATTTAGGTATCAGTATGGCTATTTTCATGCCTCAAGGCAGAGTTGAGTAGTTGACAGAGCCCTATGGCCCACAAAGCCAAAATATTTGCTATCCAGTCTTTTAAGAAAAAGTTTGCAAAGGAGGCCACCCTCCAGAGCATCTCAACAGGTGGACAAGAGTCCAAGAAACCAGCCAAGCAGCAGCAGGATTAACAGGCAGGGCAGGTGAGGCCAGCTGTAGAAATGGAGATGGAGGGTGCCAGGGAGGGCATTCAGCCGGGCCTCCAAGAGAAGGTGAATCAGGTCATAAAATGACATACAGGGTCTAGGCAAGCAGCACGGTGGTGATGCGGCAGTCCTCCTGCCCAGGCAGCTCTGGCTGAGCAAGGGGCCAGGCAGAAAGGACCTCCTCGCACCTACAGGGTTTCCGTTTTCTGGCAAAACCCAAGATCTGGCTGTCCTCCCCAGCCCACTCAACAGAGAAGCCAATCTTGTCTTCCTTGCCCAAGCAGGACTTCGGAGAGGACGACTCCCTCTACATCACCAAGGTGACCACCATCCACATGGGCAATTACACCTGCCATGCCTCCGGCCACGAGCAGCTGTTCCAGACCCACGTCCTGCAGGTGAATGGTTAGTAAATGGCTCCATGCATGTTGTCGCCCCAAAGTGTTCCCCAAAGGCTGCTCAGAATAACCTTCCTCCTCTCTTGCATTCTGTCTTCTTGAAAAAATACCTGACCCCAAAGTGTCCCATTGCTCCCATATGTAAAGGGGGACTGGGGCGGTGGGCAGGGGCAGAGTCTGCTAACTCACTTCCCAGTCCGGCTCTTCCCCAAAGCCTCCTCTGATGAAGTGAGTCCAGGTGGGAGGGGGTGAGTCATTTAGGTGGGCCAGAACCCCAGGGAAATTTGACATGTCCAGCCATGCCCAGCTGGGCCCCACTGCTGGCACCGAGCAAGCCTAAGCAGGGTGTCCATGCACCAGAGAATAATGTGAAAGCTCCAAGTCAGCCCCAGATCCTTGGTGGCAGCCGGTGTCTGGGGCTTCTGTTTTGAGATAAAGTGTACACAGTATTGAGGATAATTGCATCTTGAGGTTCAGTATCACTTGCCTCTGGGATCCTGGGTGACAAGCCATTTAAGGACAACAGAGTAAGCCCAGCTTGCCTCTGCATTTGTCCTATAGGATGTTTTAGGGATTTTTATATTCATACTGCCTAAATCATATTTTATTCGTATTTCCCTTGAGCTGGGGCATACTTAATCCTCTGGGGTTTTGTGGCTATGCCTGTTGGCTTGACTCCAGATGTACAGTGAAATTTCTGGATTTCATCAGAAATAACACACAGGTTCCTAGTTATAACATCCCTTGGATGAGCCATCCAGGCTGGCATTCAGAGTTCAGTTTGTGTGTGCAGCCGGTAGGCAGTGTCTGGGTCACTCCAGGGGCAGATTGTGTGCTCTGCAGTGTGAAGAGGGTGCTGCCATCTATAGCTGGCAAGTGGTACCCAGTATCATACTGTGTTGGTGAATGCGTGGTTGCACAACTCCACATGACTTGGCACAGCTCCCTCTGGCCCTCAGACCAGCTGAAAATGGGAAATCAAGAATTCCCAGATCCTCCATCCAACCCTTCACATCTTGCCCCCGCCCCATAAGAACCAAGGGCACAGGAGTGGGCTTGAGCCTGGTCCCCTTCATCTCCTCCAGAACAGATCTGTGGGGAGAGGGGCCTGGGCGGGGAAATCCGCCTGCCCAGGAGCCAGAGTAACTCATGAGTGAGGACCTGTCCTTACCTCAGGCTTCTGCAGGAGATGCTGTGGTCTTAAATACCTTCAATACACAAACTGCAGGTCCACACAAATTGCGGGGGGATCCTTCTGCCTCGTGTTCCCCCAGAATTCTGAGACAGAGCTCATGATGGGGGATGAACCACTTCCTCCCTCCCGGTGCCAAATCCGGGAGTAGGGCCCAGGCCCGTGGACACCATGTGCTGCTGGCCTTAAAGCAGAGACTAGGCTGCTTCCTGTCACCACTTGGGTGGAGAATGGACTGTGCAGCTGGAGAATTTTGTTCAAGCCTCCATACCCACCCACCAGCCTCTTGCTAAAGGGACTGCTTGGGGCCTCAGGAAGTTGAAACAGCAAAACCTCCCTGCTGAGATCCAGAGAGAGGCCACTTGAAATCCATTTTCTGATTGCTGAGAGATTTAAGGCTTCTCTTTAAGCTGAAGTCCTAGAGTCAGAGGCAGCACACTGGGACCTCTGTGGTTCTTTTTAATAGTTTTATTGGTTATTTATTTATTTATCTGGTGCATCAGGTCTTAGTTGCACAGTCAGGATCCTCATTGCATCATACGGGATCTTTCGTTGCGGCGCAGACTCTCTAGTTGTGATGCACAGGCTCGGGAGTTGTGGCCTGTGGGCTTAGTTGTTCTGAGGCATGTGGGATCTTAGTTCCTCAAGCAGGGATCAAACCTGTGTCCCCTGCATTGCAATGTGGATTCTTAACCACTGGGCCACCAGGGTAGTCCCAAGACCTCTGTATTTTGCAGTAGGCTTTCTATCTCATTCCATGGTGCACTATTTGGCTCCATGGCGGTCAGGCTAGGCCGTCTGGGTGGGCCTCACTCCAGGACCCCTTGAGGTCCCTGGGCTGGGCTGGCCACCGGCACTTGGGGTGGCATTTGGGTCCATTAAGCAGCTCCTCATGGGAAGCAGTGCTAAGGTAGACCCAGTATTGCCTCCCAAGGACGAGTCCATTGCTGGTTGACCAGGGACAAGACACGAGATTTTCCAGAAGTGTATTCCAGAAGTGAAGCTCACTGAGTTGACTGAGAGGGTAAACCATCCTATCTGTGTGGGAAGACAGGAAGATGCTGTTGAAAGTAGAATGGCATGAAAGGCACAATTACAGTAGGAACGCTTCCCAGATACCTACTGGGCACCTTCTCTGTTTCACAGATTAGGAAACTAGGGGTTGGAAACTACAGAGAGATTAAATTACTTGCCCAGGACCCTCAGCCCTACAATTAGTAACTGCAAAATAGATCTTGACACCAAAGCCTGGACTCTTGATGCCTTTTCCGCCCCTTCACTCTGGAACATTGCATTGTGGCTGCTGGAGAATCCAGGTGTGGTCAGTTGGCAGGTTGGTGTTGATCTGCTATGGGGGCACACTGCGGGGGGTGGGGGGTGGCGCAGACAGGGAACAGGAAACCTGCCTGGCCTACCCCTGCCCCAGGTGCTGAGCTCAGGTCAGAAGCAGCAGGCATCCAATGAAGGACTTACTGCACAGATGTAAGGGCAGCCGCTGCCCTCAGCAGGACTGATGTTGGTGACCTGCACAGCTTGGTCATCCAGCTCTAGGTGGGCTCAGCAGACCACTGTGCAGACACTGATGCTGCTCAAGGTCCCAGGGTCAGGAGGGCTGGGCTGCTGGGGAAAACTCACAGAGGCAGTGGGCTTGGGGGCTTCCAGGCAGAAGGACTGGGAAGGAGAGAAGGCACTGTCTGTGCTCAGTACAGAAGGAATGCTACCTCGCTGGGTCATCTTGTTAGGAAGTTGTGAGAGAGCAGTAACAGGTTCATCTGTAGGTTTTGTTCCTTTTTGTCATTCATCCCTAGCATGAGTCAAAAGCATAAAAGATGTCCCCTAGTAACCTGGGTAGAATTAGGTGTGGTCACCCAACTGTGCTGCAGGTGGTGAGGTTTGGTCTCCTCTTGGCCTGAAGAGGAGACCTTATTTGAGCCAAGGCAGTGCCTGGGACATAAAGGGAGTGATGTTCTATGTCAGTTCCTCCTGCTAGCTTCTCCTCAGTCAGAGTGAGGACAGGAAGGGGAGGATGATGAAGTGGGGAGAGGAGGCCCTGGCCAGCCCCCTGCCTTTCAGAAGGCTCAGAATTCTCCAGGTGACCAGCAGGCATGCCAAGTATGTAGCTGGTGGGCCCAAGAGACAGAGAAATCATTCATGCGCTGTTCCACCCAAGGCACAGTGCAGACCCAAACTGGAGATACCTCTGTCATAAAGTCAAGACATGAACTCTGAGCCAGAGAGGCCTGAGTTCAAGTCCTAGTGCTGGTACTTCCTTGACATACATCTTAGGTGGGTAAACTCACCTGTAAAATGGGAATAACAATATACCTCCTGCCTTATAGGCCTGATGAGGTAGGATGTGTGTCAAATGCTTGGGAAATACCTGAAAAGATGTATTTCAAAGTCCAGGATGGGACAGATACCGGGGGAGATTTTGTTTTGTCTCAAACCTTATTTTAACCGCAGTTGGTGCACACAGATGGTCTGAACTCACAGAGCTTGCAACCCATTATACAGATGGGAAGATCAAGATCCAGAGGAAGTTGCCAGGCCAGGAATAAAATATAGACTTCTTCCTGGAGCTGTTCCACTCCCTGGTGGCAGGGGCAGGACCGCACACACAGGCTGAGCTTCTGGGCGCCTTCTGGGGCTTCTGCATCCGGAGCTCTGCCTTGATCTGGTTTGCTAAAGGGAACACTTCTAGGCAACTATTTCCTTTCTTTCTCAAATTATTAGTATAACTTCCCCACAGACCAGGCCTCCCAGAGATGAGACCCAAACACTGACATGATTTATAACTTCATCCAAACCTCCTGCATTGCTTCCATAAGAAGGAGGAAAAACTTCCGACATAAATGATTAATCCATTAAATTAAAAACACCTTCGACCTCCCCACAGTTCAGACAAGTAACGATTCATTCCCAAAACACAATAGTAATCTCCCGAATCTGTTGATTACTGCAGCTTGGTACTTTTGTGAATGTGCCTCTTACTTAAGACATATTTATGCTGCCTTTCACCTTGGAAATGATCGATGTTTCCCAAAGAAAATGTGCCGTTGCGTTATGTATTCAAATGTTTTCACGGGAAGGTTTTGCAAATTTAAAAGGAAATGAATGTGTTTACCCAGGACAACATTAATTTCAAATGATTTTGGTATGTGAATTAACACAAAGGAAGAGAGGAGATCAGGGCCAAAGGAAAACAATTGGGCTTTGCCTTGTTCCTGGCAGAGAGCTGCATCTCTACCCAGCCCTACCCTGGAGAGGATAGTCTCTCACAAAGAAAATGCAGGACTTTGATGGGAACCTACCCAAACGGGGACCTCGGGTACCAAGGTCTTGGATGCCTCCCTGCTCAGGGTTCTCCTCAGGCCCTCGCTCTCCTGGGAGGAGGCTGGATCCATGGCTCTGGCTACAGTGCTCACTCAGACCTGGTCCATACCACCTCAGTCTTAGCAATGCCCCATCGCACTTAAGGAACACAGCTGGGTCCTGTAAGCAGTGACCAGGCTCCCACCCAAATGATGGGATGGTTTTATTTTTTCCCTCTAACATCCTAGTACCAGTTTTCAACTCTGCCAAGGTCAGGGCAGGGCAAAATGGGCTTCTCGATGGAGCTCCTTGGTGCCCTGGAGTCTGCCTTCCATTCACAGGCCACCCTACCCTCCACTCCACCAAGCAGGGCGTGGGGCCGGGAAGACCCAGGAGGCCGCAGCTCACAGGACAAACCTGCTGTCAATAGAGGGGGAGGCACCAGGGCAGAAGGAAGGGTGGCATTTCCTTTGTGAGGTGGAGAGAGTTCATCTGAGTGCTCT